GGTATAGTTGTTTATGTTAAAATGAATATGCAAAGTATATATATCATTTAAAAACAGATAGCAGTCATACGCTATGGGTTAGAATGGAAAGCTCTTTTCTTAATCATGAAGGCAATGCATTGTTTGGTATAATTTCCTTACCCCTTGCTAATTCTATTGCTGTTGTCTTTGTGACGACTTATTACAGAGTAGATTGGTAAAGGTGTTTATTGGTCTCTGCACACCATTATCTCCGACATTATGTCAGTTCACTCAACCATAAAAAGACCACAGGTGTCAGCAGTCCACACCTTTCAGGGGTTACATGTAGTAAAAAGCGTGAAACAAAATAGCTATAATGTTTACAAATATCTATAATGTTTACATATAGCTATAATGTTTACAAATATCTATAATGTTTACAAATACCTATTGCGACCATAACTTTCGAAAGAAGGAACGTTCAGTTAAAAGCTATTGTCTCGACTTCGATGCACATTTTCAGAGAAGTATATAACACAGAATGCGTTACGTCTCTGTCGATATTGTGTTACGTCTCTGTCGATATTGTGTTACGTCTTTATCGATATCGTGTTACGTCTATGTCGATATTGTGTTACTACGTCTCTGTCGATATTGTGTTACGTCTCTGTCGATATTGTGTTACGTCTCTGTCGATATTGTGTTACTACGTCTCTGTCGATATCGTGTTACGTCTCTGTCGATATTGTATTACGTCTCTGTCGATATTGTGTTACGTCTCTGTCGATACTGTGTTACGTCTCTGTCGATATTGTGTTACGTCTCTGTCGATACTGTGTTACGTCTCTGTCGATATTGTGTTACGTCTCTGTCGATATAGTGTTACGTCTATGTCGATATCGTGTTACGTCTTTGTCCATATTGTGTTACGTCTCTGTCCATATTGTGTTACTACGTCTCTGTCGATATTGTGTTACGTCTCTGTAGATATTGTGTTACGTCTTTATCGATATAGTGTTACGTCTCTGTCCATATTGTGTTACGTCTCTGTCGATATTGTGTTACGTCTCTGTCGATATCGTTTTACGTCTCTGTCGATATTGTGTTACGTCTCTGTCGATATTGTGTTACGTCTCTGTTGATATTTTGTTACTACGTCTTTGTCGATACTGTGTTACGTCTCTGTCGATATTGTGTTACGTCTCTGTCGATATAGTGTTACGTCTCTGTCGATATTGTGTTACGTCTCTGTTGATATTTTGTTACTACGTCTTTGTCGATATTGTGTTACGTCTCTGTCGATATAGTGTTACGTCTCTGTCGATATAGTGTTACGTCTCTGTCGATATTGTGTTACGTCTCTGTCGATACTGTGTTACGTCTCTGTCGATATTGTGTTACGTCTCTGTCGATATTGTGTTACGTCTCTGTTGATATTTTGTTACTACGTCTTTGTCGATATTGTGTTACGTCTCTGTCGATATTGTGTTACAACGTCTCTGTCGATATAGTGTTACGTCTCTGTCGATATTGTGTTACGTCTCTGTTGATATTTTGTTACTACGTCTTTGTCGATATTGTGTTACGTCTCTGTCGATATTGTGTTACGTCTCTGTCGATATAGTGTTACGTCTCTGTCGATATTGTGTTACTACGTCTCTGTCGATATTGTGTTACTACGTCTCTGTCGATATTGTGTTACGTCTCTGTCGATATTGTGTTACTACGTCTCTGTCGATATTGTGTTACGTCTCTGTCGATATAGTGTTACGTCTCTGTCGATATCGTGTTACGTCTCTGTCGATATCGTGTTACGTCTCTGTTGATATTGTGTTACGTCTCTGTCGATATTGTGTTACGTCTCTGTCGATATTGTGTTACGTCTCTGTCCATATTGTGTAACTACGTCTCTGTCGATATCGTCTTACGTCTCTGTCGATATCGTGTTACGTCTCTGTCCATATTGTGTTACGTCTCTGTCGATATTGTGTTACTACGTCTCTGTCGATATTGTGTTACGTCTCTGTCGATATAGTGTTACGTCTATGTCGATATCGTGTTACGTCTCTGTCCATATTGTGTTACGTCTCTGTCCATATTGTGTTACGTCTCTGTCGATATTGTGTAACTACGTCTCTGTCGATATCGTCTTACGTCTCTGTCGATATCGTGTTACGTCTCTGTCCATATTGTGTTACGTCTCTGTCGATATTGTGTTACTACGTCTCTGTCGATATTGTGTTACGTCTCTGTCGATATTGTGTTACTACGTCTCTGTCGATATTGTGTTACGTCTCTGTCCATATTGTGTAACTACGTCTCTGTCGATATCGTCTTACGTCTCTGTCGATATCGTGTTACGTCTCTGTCCATATTGTGTTACGTCTCTGTCGATATTGTGTTACTACGTCTCTGTCGATATTGTGTTACGTCTCTGTCGATATAGTGTTACGTCTATGTCGATATCGTGTTACGTCTCTGTCGATATAGTGTTACGTCTCTGTCGATATCGTCTTACGTCTCTGTCGATATTGTGTTACGTCTCTGTCGATATAGTGTTACGTCTATGTCGATATCGTGTTACGTCTCTGTCGATATTGTGTTACGTCTCTGTCGATATCGTGTTACGTCTCTGTCGATATTGTGTTACTACGTCTCTGTCGATATCGTGTAATTACGTCTGTGTCATCGTTTTAGATTTCTGGTTTTCTTCGCCCGATCTGCCGAATCTTTTATGTTACATGTCTCTTAATTGAAATGAAATTATGCATATATTAAATTACATGTATTGCTCTGAGGCACGATTTAGCAACATTATCTTGCAAATAACATTTAGGTTTGAAGGATAGCAACATGAGATACATCGTTTGATAACGTAAATACAGTTAAATACACCTGGATGGAAGGGGAATGTCCCTCTATAACGTCACACTGTAAATCTTAATATTCTTGGTAACATTTCTTTTCATAAAGGTGAGTTTTGTGTTGATCATCGCTTACTAGAAAACTCGTTACCCTATTCGCATAATCTCAGATGTCACCGTTTGGCTAACATACATCTAAATACAGCTTGTTAAGACGTTCAGAGTGACCATTTATTAAATTGATAAGAGATCCATATTGATACCGTTGTATCTTTTTCTTAATAACTCAACCATGTACTGAATATGAGATATAAGTTGATTCAAATATAAATTTTGAAATGTGTTTTCTATCTCATTCTTGTCATTTGAATACACTAGCGCCACCCTGGTTCAACAATACACCGATAATGGACGAAAAGGTTCGTCTAGGTAGTATTTAGTTGAAACAATTTTTTATTCAATTGTTCAGCGATATGAAACTGATGCGGTTTACTAGCACAGGAAACAGTATATATGGTATGAATAAATTGAATTAAACATATTTTATTGTAAATTATTTACCAAAGGATCGGGCACAAGTTATTTCAACTTATAGTTGCCCTTTCCTCAATACATTACAAAACAAAAACATCACAATATCAAGTCATCAATAATTTACATAAATATTGGCTAGTATATATGGTAAGACCGCATAGCAAATGTTAAATGGGTCGTGAAAGTGTTGAAAGTGTTGTAGGCCTATGAGGATACAATATCACGGTCGTTGCTAGATTTATAGATGGCATGAAAAGTAGCCTAAACAAAATTCATAGCTCGTCATCGTAAATGGAGCGATCATCCCGCGACATCTCCCCTAGTAAAAAGAAATTATCTCTATCGTCCGCCATTGCTGCGGAAGCCGGATTGCGGGGTAGTTTTTAATCCCTTTCGTCAAAACCGTACTATACATTTCAATGTTATGAAATGAAACAAAAACTATAAATTTCAATGTAATGAAATGAAAAAGAAACTATTCCAATTTAATGGTTTAGATAGAAGTTGAACTCAGAAAATATACTTTAAATGTAATTTAAAAATAGCTTAATATTATAAAAATAGGAAATTTGTAAAAACTTAAAAAAAAAAAAAAAACATATACCACGGACCTAGATATAATTTGTTTACAAGTCTGTGCATATACATACATATACACTTACCAAATTATGCTGTTTACACCAGAGCTTCGTCCAACCGAATCGAGTTAGTCCCATGTTCTAAAGGTATCCACCTGACATGCGTGTCGTCGCATGTTTAGAAAATACATAGACAGTGACTGCCTGTCTTGAAAAAAACGAGATCGTTGAATTATGCAATACGATCGTTTGTGTTCTAAGTCACATTCGGTTAAAATTTTTCTGGTGAACCTCCTTACGTAGCCCTGAAATGTACATGTTTGTTACTTGTCAATCAATGTTTGTTAAAATCACATATTCAAAACAGACGACGTACTAGGTAATATCAAGTTGAATAGCCCTTTTAGATTTGGTGACATCGTTAAAGTTCATATCCTTAAGCCTTACGGCTCATAAGGGTACATTAAGTACATGTTTATTTACGGTGTTTCTAATACCTACTACTTACACGCTTCTTGACACGCATTCGTCTAGCGTAATGGCAACGACAATTGTTAACATAGCATTACCTGTTCTAAAATTACAATAAGATTTGCCAAGGTTGAAGGGACATCAGTTAAGTAATTGTCTCAGTAATTCCTTTCGGGGACGTGAAAACTTCCAAATTTGATATTGTTTGTTGCTTATTGAGAATTCACTGTGAGCTTTAAGGCTCATAATTACAACAATAACAATGCAATCTAATCAAAATAAGTACATATAAACATGTATGGTGTGAAGTTACAGTACAATGTAAAAATATCATTCCAAGGCTGGCGGACTTATATGAGAAATAAGCGAAACATATGCAATATTGCAGAATAGTAGATAATATAAGTCTTCACAATATGTTTCCTCTCTGTACATTCTAAATTTTAACAGGAGGTTGCCGGCAATAGATACTAATAATAAGACATTGACTTGGATCAAATCAATGATACTATGAGTGAGATGAACGTAAAGCTAAAGCATAATTCCCTTCTATTAGTAGCTGATAGTAGTTGCACAAGTTTAAAAGAAAAGTTCAGCTTTTGGGTCGGAGAAATGGCTGTAGTAGCGGCTCCTCTGCGTTGGGTTTCAAGGAGAGGCAAAGAGCGTCTTCCTCCTCTTCTCCACTATTTGACCAGCCAGGTCGCTTGCGGGTGCTCGCCCTCCGTGATTTCTCGAAAGAGGTCACCAAACACCTGGTATGGGTAAAAACGTTCCAGCAGGAAAACTTAAAAGTCAAGAGGAATACCAGGAATTCATCTTGGACAGTGCCAAATATATCGGCAGTGCTGCTCATTTGTTCATATCAAATGTTTACCCATCATAACTTATTAATACACACCATACCAGTGTATCAACAAAGTAATATAAGTTTATAATATTTGGCCAAAAGGTTCCCTTTAAAGTGCCCACATAGTGTGTGAAAAAATAGCTTGACCCATAAAAATATTTTAAGGTCACTGGGGTTAAATTTGGTAAAATAATTAACAACTTCTAATTGACCAAAGGCTATCATATTTGGCCAGTTAAAGTTTCACAATGGCTTATATACAAATATGTAGAACCTTCCAATGACTTATTAAAGGAATATATTTGGCTGGAAATTTTCTTGGCATAATTTGGAATAAATCATAAAGACCTTTTACAGTGATGCCACACTGTTCCAAAAATAGATTAGGCCAAGCTCCCTGGAGGTCTGAGAGGCTTGAGCTAAGTAATGTGAAAAACTACATGTTAGTGCAATTACTTATGTTCTATTCACAGCATTAAAATACAGAAAACATGATCAGAAAGAGAATTGCAAGAGCTTCATTTTGATTTAAAATTCTTCATAATTATAGCATAAATAAATTAGAAATTCTAAGTTGATCCCATTTGTTATGCAGTGTTTATAGGCCTTCAGTAAACTGTTATCAGTATATCTCCAGTAACCGGGGCCTAACTGACCATGGCGACATCACTAATGATATGCATGAAACGTTTTATTATTTGTTTTGAGTTAGGATTATGGTTTATAATTACATATACCTAAATTTTTCCTGTCTTTATATTTAATTGTTGCTATATATTGTTGACTTGTTCAAGTCTCAAATATGTTGAATCTGTGTTTGTAAACAGTGATCTAAAGAACAAGTAAGCTTCTGCTGTCCTGGGTCATCCATCCAGCTATAACTAAGAGTTTTTCTGCTATATTGTTTGACCATCTTCTTTCCTTGATTTAAAAGAAAGCTATCAATTATATTTAACTGGAAACATCATAAGAAAGTCTCAATTCAATATTGCACAGATGAGGGGGCTGACTACTATGGGACAGAACCCATATGGAGTAATTTGTTATATTGCTTTAAGCAATATATGCACAGATATAGTACTGTTTGTCATAAAGATCCAGGTGAGCGATACAGGCCCTCTGGGCCTCTTGTTTACATGAATTGTATATAGTCATATATGTGCTAGTATCCTACAATAATGGTTAATTATTCATATTTTGTGTATATTATTCTACATATAAGTTAGTATTCATATGCTAAACTGATATAAACGTTTTAAATGCTTATTTGTGTACTTTAACGCATGTATGTAGGCGTTACGCACTAGTGTTTTTATGACTACGGTAGCTATCCGTTAACCATGATAGGTGGTATCATTGTCGTTAGTATTCTTTAAATTGACTTATATGCTTGTATATATGGTAATTTGTCTTCGTGATCTATATTTATTAAACACATGCACATGCTTTATTCTAACGTCCATTTATTGTTGTAATAGTTCACTAGATATTTGTAAGGGAAGTCAATATATCTACATTGGTCATATTTGTGGTATTGAGGTTGTGTGAGAAAGTGTTAATATGCATGTTTATTTTTATAGAAATCCATAGATGGGTTGGTAGGGGATGAGCTGGCTGTGGGTGAGACAACTGGTACCGGACAGATCGGGCCAGTTCCTCAGGTGATGATGCCGAGCATTGTGTACGTCGACTTAAATTGTGTGATTGTGTTGTGTTGGACACCAACCCAGGAATACGATCATTTAGTATTGAATGTGTGATTGTGTGTTAGGGTGTGTGTCTATTTCTATGGGGATTTATTTAAGATATAAATGTGTTTATGTAGTAAATAAATGTAAATACTGTATCACAAATTGCTCTGTGTTCTCTCAGCTGCCGTCCGGTCGTCCAACGTTACAAATTTTGGATGATGTTTGTCACTCAAGTCGGGTAGACTGCACAAAAACTGACACTCAGTGATCCACGCATGGGTATCACCACATCTATCCACCATCGGTAGAAGAATAAAGCGCTGATGTGCTTGGATGTATATCCTCCGGCTCACAAGAACAACAGGAATGTCAGTATTTATTATTGTTATCATTATTCAAACTACATAATGTATTATGAATTTATAGTCTTCAGTATTCCTACGTACTATTACCTCATACAGGTGGCATCCAATATATATATCTTTCTTTCTATTGACTTTTTTCTTTTCCTTTTTTGGTCTGATATACGACCGAGCTGTTTCACATCGTCGGGTTTTTCTCACATCAATGCTTTTTTCTGAAAGCAACCGGCGACAAAACTACGCCAGTTATTCAAGATGTTAAAAGGCCTATATCACTAAAGTCACGGTTAATTTCTCATCACTTTCTTCTAAACGCATTTTACAAGAAATGTTTCAACTCTGTACACTACTATACCCATCTCTAATCTTAAAGAACGGCGGTATCAATGTATGGTTGTAAACTATACTAAGCGCATTTCGTCCAAACCAAAGAAGAAATACACGAAGAGCGAAATCATAAAGAGATCGAGTTTCTGGATGACAACATCTACATCGAATTTGGTGGTATGATCTCCCAACAGGCTATTGGCATACCTGTAGGAACTGCCTGTGCCCCTGTGCTGTCTGACCTGTTTTTGTTTTCATATGAGGCTGAATTTATATTAATTAAAGACGCCGTGTCATTAAATAACGAGAGATTTATTTACCACGCCCTTCGTATACTTTTTGTATATAAACATTAGAATTGAAGGTTCTTCTACATCAGCCACTCGATATTGTCCCACAACGAAACCACCGTGGACGGCTTTCACACTTTCAAATAATATTTTTATATTTCTGCTGAGTTGTGACATCTGAAAATAAATATTAAATAAAACTAGCAATGTTGACACTTCTTCCCTACATCAGAACTTATACAATGTGTATAAAATAACTTTTCATTCAATGCTCCTGAGATAAATTGTTTTTACACACAATATGAATGTTTTTTTTTTAAAATTCAAATTTCGGTTGCCATGGCAACTTTAAAATCCGAAAAGAAATAATTTTGTCGTAAAATTCTAACAAATCAGATTTTTCAGTTTCCTATTTTATATTCTGGTGGTTGACTAAACTGTAAATTCTTTTATACAAAGCTTTTCTTATGTAATGAAATTTATGCAGACCAAAATGCAATTTGCTAATTTCAACAGCATCAAATATTCTAAAAACGAGGTAGTAACCATTGCAACAAGCAGAAATCAGTAAATTTCCTGCATATACATAATCTTAGATTCCTTATAATTCGGGTGTATATTTTTTATACACTTCCATCGTCGAAAACACTGGTTGCTATGGTAACGTTATTATTCGTAAAACATGATTTTTTGTCAAAAGATTAGGAAAGCTTGTATTCCCATGTTTTCAAATGTATTGGGGTTGCTCACATGGAAGTTGACTGGAAAAGGGTGAAAATTCATGCTGAAGCAAAATGATAGATTTTCCTAAGTGTCATAAAAAAATCCTGGGAGGATAACCTGACCTCGTTCAACCCGCAGGGCAGGAATAGGTTGCCTACGGGTAGGTTACTCTGTTTGGTAGGGTTGGGGGTTGGCCAGGGGGTACACGTACACGCTTAAAAGTTTAAAATTATCTCATAGCACTCATTAGACCAAAACGTTACTTCATAACAAGTATATTTATTAACAACTTAGTAAATTCCTACTAACACCTCCAAGTTCTCCCTATACTGACATCACAATCACAAAATATGATTATCGGATAACGTCGAAAAGTGAGCAGCTACATGGAGAAAGGAACAGTGTGGATCACAAAAAGTATAGACATTGATAAAGCGAACAGTACATAGAGTGGCAGACGGTAATGGAATGATGATTTACAGCTCCAACACTTGTCTAACATCTAGCCCACAGTCAATTGGATTGCTATAGGTTAGCAATATGGATTTTTTGTTGTTAAGTAATTTTGACGGACCAAAATACTATCAATATATCGGAGTTTACCTAGAGTAAGACCCCCTTCCTCTTCCTCTCTGTCCTTAACCAGTCCTCTGCTGTGATGTGCTTAGTGTAAGTTTATCTAGTGTATGACCCCCTTCCTCTTCCTCTCTGTCCTTAACCAGTCCTCTGCTGTGATGTGCTAAGCATTAGTTTATTAAGTTTACCCCCTCCCTTCCTCTTCCTCTCTGTCCTTAACCAGTCCTCTGCTGTGATGTGCTTAGTATAAGTTTATCTAGTGTAAGACCCCCTTCCTCTTCCTCTCTGTCCTTAACCAGTCCTCTGCTGTGATGTGCTAAGCATTAGTTTATTAAGTGTACCCCCTTCCTTCCTCTTCCTCTCTGTCCTCAACCAGTCCTCTGCTGTGATGTGCTAAGCATTAGTTTATTAAGTGTACCCCCCTTCCTTCCTCTTCCTCTCTGTCCTAAACCAGTCCTCTGCTGTGATGTACTTAGTGTTTGGCTAGGTCTACTTTTAGGCCAGGGGTTTTCTTTTCTAAATTATAGTTTTAGAACAGGTCAAGTAGCATAGAAACGGTACCGACCTATTTAGGACCTCAGTTTTCTTGTCAACAAATATTCGTCTTATTTTCGGGTGTGACTCCATCAATTGATTTTTTATCTCAAGAATCTCATCGTCATTCTATATAGTCTATCAGCTTGAAACGGATACGTTTATGCCTGTCATCGGTCCGTCCTTCGTGGCCTGATGCATGTTGGTTAGACACATGTGTGCGTTCTTAAAATTGCAAAAATAACCCGAAACTAACACAAAATAATACAACATACCCCAACAACTTGACCTAACAACTATCTGCTTTAAATGATAACGAAAAATATCGCCTACTCTAGGTCCCTAACAGTCCACCAGTCCCGCATCCGGCCTTTGTAAGCGGTGCAGGTATGGCGGCCAGCCCACACGATTGGACTCTATTAAAAATCTACCTCTAACCTATCAAAAACCGCTGGCGCAGCGCTAGGTTCTAAACCTACATACAACTAACTCAACAAAAGCAAATGAAAACCTAAAGTAACATGTTGGGTTGCACACGTCTGCTCACGAATTATTGAAAAAGCGAGCATGTGCTGTTGCACGAGCAAAAGACGCCAGTGTCCTCCCGTGTCCGGATATCGTCGCACCGAAGAACGTCAATCTTCTGGCGACGAGTCATCCTATAAAATGTATATATATCACACTATACTCTCCAGACTTGCTCCCGGCTGTTAACAAAGAAGTGATAAGTGAATGTTGCCCACATTGGAGACTTCTGTGTGCTCAGTTCAATGGCTAAAAAGAGAGTGCTACAGTCCAGATTCGCCCCAAACTGTCACAGGAGCTCCATGAGATATCGCGAAAGCCACCTTACAATTTGTCAATACTCACAACCGAGGGAGATCATTTTCTCCGGTTTTCACTACACTACATCAACTTTATGACGTTCTGCGCAATGAATACGACAACTACGAGGATGACTGCTTTATTATGTAAAGGTAGGTAATGATACAATGAGATAACAAACAATACAAAATTATCACTAATGACACCAAATTTACCAGCAGTGTTCTTCTGTACAAAGGCATATGATTATTGAGTTCATAAAATAGTTTCCTCAATAGTTAAACCCTCTGAGACTCATTCTCACAATACCAGGCAAAGCAATAATTTAACACTTATTCCATGCAGATAAAATCTTATTCGGATTCATTTTTCAATTAAAATAGAAATAAAGTTTACATAAGGAATTCGGAGACAATCTGTCAGTAACTGAAATTCTTAATTAGTTATCACATATATTTTAACTGGGAAAACCAAAAAGGTAAAATATTCCAAAAAGTCGTAATTCTCAGCACTGTTCTTGTGATAATCAACATTACCTTATGTTTTGTAATTTATATTCTGTACAGCGCCATTAATTCAATTAACCGTTTTTATCAAATATGGTTTGTGTCTTGTAGGACCTTTACTGTTAGACAGGGATTAGCTCATTGATAATGAAAATTGAAAAATATGTGTAGTTGTGGAAAACTTTGAGTGAAAAGTTATAATAACGAAACATTGTTGTTCTTTTTTTTCTTTTTAATCTTCACAAATTGTAGACAAAAGCTGTTTACATGTATTCTTTGCATAATCCTAGTGTGCTCGACCAACAATCGCAATGTTTGAAGAATTTCACGGGAAAAGGAATTTATATGGGATTTCAGCTTGTTTACCAATCCCCAATAAACATTGTTTATCAAACAACAGCTGTATAAAACAGAAAGAAGAAAACCCTCTTGTAATAAAAAAAATAAAATGGAATTAGATAAAGTATTGATAAACTAAAACGCAGCTAATGCATATATAGTATTTCCTTATGTTTTACAACACATTGGAACACATTGGAGAGAAGACGTATTTACTAAAATCTAATCACACACAGTATGATAGTACATCCACTACAAATATTGTACATAACGAAAAGTAATCGAACATATACTGTGATAATGATTCATATTATAGCAATGGACATAGATAAATACAACAACATACAATATACTGTTAAATATTACTGTCAAAAACAGTATAGTGCATCACAAGTTACAATCAATTGTAATGTAATGTGATATAATGTCCTACTCTATCATTACTGATTAATATATAATGTGTATGAGATTGTTAAAAGCATATCTTAATATGTATTATCATTCCTTGATATCCTTGATAAAATGATACTTTCTAGTTCACACACAAAAGAACTGCAAATAAACAAAGGACATTAAACTCTTTATCTAGGTAGAAAATGAAACAGTCCCATTGTCGAATGCATGGCAAGTTTCATCAAAACACGCTTATATCTGTACAAGTTATTGTGTTCGCAATGTTCAATAGAAGTAAAACTGCAATGAGTCTTAACTCTGTAAAAAACGCCTGAATTTGTCACATGACCTATGTGTGGTCAAGTGACATAAACGAGGGAAAAAACTGATTTTGAAAATTTATAGTAGTCTAAAATACTATTTCTATTAATATCTTTTCTGTTGTCATTATCATTATATCTAATGATAGAGTAATATCTGATAGGAATATCGCTTCACTGCCAATGTCATTTTAAACGTTTGGTGATATTTTAAAAGTATCTGATACTGAGTAACCAAATGCTTCAAAATCTAACCTATATATATTCCATAATTTTGCTATATACTCAGCAGGGATCTGTGAATAATACTTGTTGAATGTTTTGATTGTTTCCACAGATTGGTATTTTTCAGATCTTTTCGGAAATTTTATTTCAGGGGGTGCTCCAAAGTCCCTCAAAATAAATTCAGCATCTCTCGCTATAGTCTCGTATTTCCCAACAAAGTCATATTTAACAAAACAGGGACGACAGAGTGTCGTGTATCTATTCCAGTGAGGGTCGTAATATCTCGTTTTACCATCAGTGATATACTGAACAAATTCAAAAAATGTGACGTCATCTGATTCCTTTGTCGCATTTGATCTGTACTGTTTTATAATCTTTTTAGCTATTGGTTCATAATAATTTACTTTATTTGCAAATTTATTTCTGAATGCAGAAAGAAGTCTTTCAAATGGGTTACGTACAACTATGTATTTTTTATATTTCTGAAGAATGCTATGCCGCTTTTCAATTGAATATTCACCGAGATATGTCATTTTTGATCTATATCTTGTATGGACATTGCCAAAATTTAATAAACTGGCGTTGACCTTTCCAGTCAGCGTGATAAAAAGAGTTTTCCATTGCGAACAAGAGATTTTAGGAATATAGCAGAACACCATTTTGTATTTCTCGTTAACAATCAAATGCTTTAAATAATTTAATTCCGTTCGCTTATCGCTCTGCTGTCTACATGCTTGACGAAGAGTCTGCAGTCTCTTTATGTTGTCACTTTCCGCTGGTGAAGTGATGTTATTTTCTTTCTGAAATACATACACATTTGACTGTAATTGATGTGATAAAGACTGTTTAGATTATGTTATGTGTCGTTAATTGTATCTCTCCTCGTGATAACTCTAACAATTTATTGTTCAGGTATTGAATTTTAAACCGTTGAAGATATCTTAATGAAAGTTATTGTACACCTTTATTACTTAAGCCGTTAGGTCACAGTGAAGTTGCTCTCAACTTCAAAGGTCAAATAAGCGTAAATGATTCTATAAAATCAATTTAAACTGTTAATGATGTCTTTATTAAAGTTGTTGTACATTTTTATCATCTAAAGCCGATGTGCAGTGCACTGTCCTTAGGTCAATGTGACCTTGACCTCAAAGTCAAAGGCCAGAATATTAATTCAAGACGTGATCCAGCTTGGAACCTTGTCGAACTCCAGATTTAGTATTATTAGTTTTTCTTTTAAGAATTTTAGTAGCAATGTCCTGTATCCATCAAGTGAACGCTAATGAGTCAGCAGCATGACCATGTCGACACTTATTATTTCAGCGAAAAAGTAAAATCTTATTTATCAGTTAACAGTTAAGAATCAAGTTTCTGTATGGGTTTAAGATCGGTGTAATACTGATTGGAGTTCAATACAAATTACTTAATTACTTACCTCACTTCTGATCTTGCCTGGACGATTCTCCTCTGCCCTCGCTACTCCATACCAATCTTAATGTTAAAAAAAAAATAGAAATGTTTTAATGTGTTTCACTTTCTTTAATTGTATGTACCTGGAGCTTCTTTTTTTCTTCTATCTATCTATCTCATGTATATCACGTTCCTTTAAAAATGAGGACAGAAAACTATTTCCTTGAAATGCTTTCTTATAAACAAACGTCCTGCCCTCGATTTCATCAAAATTTTGTATAAAGAAGTAAAGCAAGAAAAACAACGAGATCTATTATACATACGTTTTTGTGTTGGCTAGTTTATCAGATTTCTCGTGATGAATAAGGAAGAAAATCGACAAAGCACATGATTTTGAAAATATATACTATAAGTGAATTCATCAGTAGATAGGTATTGGTTAATGCATGTTTTTTCAAGAAACGAGGGATTCATTTCACCGAAGTGATAGCAAGGGTGCAAAACGTCACATGTGATGAGAAACTATGCAATACCTGACTTACTACATAGTTCTGATGTCGAACAAACAAAAGAGAATGAGATAACTCGTTTTGTCAGCCCTTATACCCTGACTAATATTTGTTTGTGAGTGTGTATTTCTCGGTACCAGCGAACGCCTGGCTCAGTATTGATATCACTCTGTCAACGCCCTTTATAATGGACGCAAAGAGTATATTACTTTATAAACTATTTCTGGATTTTCTTAAAACTGGTAACTTAAAACTTCAATATGGATATTTCAACATAAAATATTTCAAAAGGAACAAGAAAAACTAATGTTTCTGTTTTTTCTATCTTTCTATCTCGTGTAAAACACGTTCCTTTAAAAAACGAGAACAGAAAACTATTTCCTTGAAATGCTTTTTTTGTAAATAAATGTCCTGCTCTCGATTTCACCAGAATTTTGTTTAAAGAAATAAAGCAAGTTAAACATCGAAATTCGATGATACATACGTTTTAGTGTTAGCTGGTTTGTCAGATTTCTGATGATAATTAAAGCAGAAAAGGCTGTAACTCCAATTAATATGACTTTGCTGCATCGGTATAGTCTGGTCATGGTCGTTGCTGTAAACCTGTGCAGTATGATATTGATGCTGGTATAAGAAAAGCGGAAAAACAACAGTGAACTAATTTAAGATATTAGATGCTGAAATAATTTTCATACACAAGGCATTTTTACACCATAAGTAATCAAAGTATATCCTGTGTGTATCTTCCATGGAACGATATACTTGAATATGAAATTTGTTGGACACGAATATTGAGATAACAAAAACTTTTCAAGGAAAACAGGTTTTGGCAAATTTTAATAGCAAGAAAATATGTTTTTTCATTTTAATGTATGTTCATGCATGGATGGTTAATTATAATTGATCCTATCAATGAGTTAATCATTATTGACTAAAATCCCATTTACTTATTGACTTGTTACCACAGTTCACTGCACACTGCCCCCTTTCCTGGTCACGTAATTGTAGTCATTTCTATGAATACCCGTGCATGTGACTTAGGCGTACAGTGGACTGTGTTAGAAAATGATTTATTATCCACACATTTCCATTGTGAAAGGTGTAAAGTATGCAATAATCTACGTCATTATGGCTTACTCCCATTTCGACTTAGCTGTCAATTTCACGGTAAAAATTATTCCCATTTTGCCTTAGTGCCAAAACCAGGTAGGAAGAAGTCATCATCATCATCATCATCATCATCATCATCATCATCATCATCATCATCATCACCATCATCATCATCAACTTCTTCTTCTTCTTCTTCTTGTTCATCATCATCATCATCATCATCATCATCATCATCATCATCATCATCACCATCATCATCATCAACTTCTTCTTCTTCTTCTTCTTGTTCATCATCATCATCATCATCATCATCATCATCATCATCATCATCATCATTTATTAACTTTAGGCGTTACAGCCCATCAGTACATGTACATAAATCAAATAATACAAAATAATCAAATACATTTGAATGCATAGCTGTGTAAGAATAATAACGTACAACGCCAAATAAAAGCAAGTGCTTATACAAAGGGAGCAAGAAAAACAGGTTATTATGATTTATATGTCATAGTGCGCACAGCATTGCAATTTAAATGGACAATTTGTATACCTTATACTACACATAGGAAATACATGTAAATAGTAGCAAAATAGATCTAGACTCGCAAATCTGTCATGACGACGGGCGGCCGGTCCAAACCGATTCTCTGAAAGTATGAGAGACGGACAGTAGTCAGACATGATAAAAAATATAATACAATTATACAATTCTACGCTTGTGTGCTTCTATTATAGGAAGCTGCGTCTCCAACTTACCTAGCAAGTCCATATTGTTGCGTCTTAATTATAACATGATTTAAATTAAGAGCTTTCAAGATGGCTTTTGTGTAGTGGAATAGGTATCCATTGAGTTCTGCTGCTGGAAATGTCACAAATTAAAACTGTGCTTGGTGAAAGTTCAGGTTGTGTCGAGTAAATGAATACACAAGCGGAAACATAAAAGTAGCAACAAAAGCATGGATGTCAAGTCAAAAATCTGTGGGGCTGTATAAAAGGTTCCATCGCAGTAGACGATCTCGGCAGAGCATAGATGTACCAGGTTCTCGTCAGTAGTGAATATAAATATTTTGTCTGCATGTAGCATAAATCCTGCAATGTTGATTGTGAAACTGATACTTTAGCATACTGTCAAAAGTCTTTTATATATAACATGTAAGCTGAGATGAGGAGTTATTCTAAGCTGTTCAGTCTGTTAGAATCTACTATGAATATTTTTGTATACATATATCCCCAAGAAAAACTATAACTAAAAATATAAGTTGCTTATAAACATACATTTCGTAGAAAAACTAGGTTTTTGAAATAAGATTTGATCCTTCTTTGAATTATAAAAGAAATAAGAAATAAATTCAAAATTTATTTAAATATATTTAATTGATTTAGTGTTAAAATGTACAAGTTCCAATACAAAATGTAGTTATTTTTATTTCTTTCAATGTGAAAAATGTACATGTTCCAATACAACATGTAGTTATTTTTATTTCTTCAAATATGTTTTATATTCTATATATATCTTAAATCTATGTGGCCTTTGGTCAATCATAATTAAGATTTAACTGTAGAATGAGCTATTGTAAAAACAACAATCGCTGCATGTAATTGGTTTGTTTATCTTTCTACACTTTTCCTAAATTCCCACTCTTAGCCCCATTTCCATTTCGCCTTAGCACATTTCCACCTGTTTTATACCAAAATATGTAACTAAGGTGGAATGGGAACACACCGTCATTATCAGTAATCGCCAGGTTTTAGAAAATGTTTGTCAACTCGCATACCTCCGGAATAGATTTTCCGCTTCATTTAAGACATGCATGTAATTAAAAATTAAAAGCAGATTTTGATATCATTCCTTTAATGTCCACACAGCGGAGTTGACAAAGTTTAGCTTTACGGAAGCCACGCACCATTTTCCAAAAGGCAAGTCAGCCATGTACCTCAGGCTATCTTTGTTTATTATTTGATTAGTTTGATATAAACAGGCCAATAGAACATATACGACATATTTACACATCTGAAATAACATTGTTTTCTCCAGCACTGCCTTTGTTTAGAAGTAACAGATTACATTGAATAATCCTGCATTTAAAAAATACGGTAGTACAAAGTACTCGAGCTCTGTTCTCAACATGATTTTATCTGTAATGTTTAGAGCCTCTGTTATCATCTTCACCAACAACGATTCACATTCCGCCGTATACAATTATGCTTTATATGTCAATGGCTGTTTCAATATCAACGATTACTTAACAGTATTATCTTTTCTACTAATGTTTGATTTTATTTTTAGTTTTCCCTAGTGAGAATAATATGAAAAATAATATGAATCTTGTTCAAATTCGAAATCACTTTCTTAAATTCCGAGATACATAGAAGAAGGCTATATACGGACATGTCCAAGCACTTTACCCTAACTGTACGTACTTAATGTCTTGATACGGGTCACACGTGTGTTGATCAATGAAGTCATTTCTTTAATTCGAAGGTTTTCAAAATAACACTAGACTCTGCGTTAGTTAGTCTTTTTTAAGTGTCACGTACATATAGTTAACATGATACATGGTTAGTGATAAAAAGACAAAATAACAACGTTCTCTGTAACTAATGATAATTCACTTTTGCATAATTACATAGAAAAGGAGCACAACCGGGTACAGAAATTAACTCCATGATTAAGATTTTTTTTCTTCTAAAAATCTACAATTTTTTGCGAAGATTGTTTACAATTAGTTCTTTTCGAGTATATTTTCACA